AACACTCTTTCTAATACCTTATTAGCAAGTAAGTAAAAATTTATTGAAAATCAAATTTTTGTGAATCTTCAAAAAAAAAAAAAAGGTTTCATTAAATAAAATGTATGATAGAATTTCATTAAATGAGATATGAGTTACAAAATTTGTGATTTTTAATGAATGTCGACCAATAAATATATAAACATGTTATTTTTTAAAAAACTTATCTCATTGGTTAAATAATTAATTCAAATATACTATAATTTAATCATGAATTATTATATAATTCAAAACTATTATTTTTTTAACAAGTATTTTAAAAAATCATTTTTAAGGGAATAATTGATCTCTTTCTTTTACAAAGCACAAATTAGTTTAGTGGTTTGTTTAGTTATACATAAAAAAGTTGGGTCTTAAGTACTGGGTTCAAGTCATGCCATGACCTTATTGTTTTGAGAGGGCCTTTTAGATGATATAATAATGTGGAGACATGTGTGTGTAAGTCTCGTGTTCAGAGAGAATCTCAATTCATAGATAAATAATTGGTTGCAAAAATGTTTACACATGAGCCAAGTAACATTGGTATATTACATCAGTCAAATAGGGTCACGTCATCTAAAGATCCTATCTACAAATATATGGTACGATTACAGACCCATTTTATAAAGATTGTAACACCCGCATAAAAGATAATCCTATCTCTGAAAAGGTACGTGCATTATAAATAAGAGAATCTCTATTATCATAAATTAACCTAAGTATCGGAGTTTCTTTTGCAAGTATTCTCCCATCAAAAGAACCAAACTATCAAGCAGAGGAAACTCAAAGATCTCGCCTAGGAAGGTTGCCACCTAGACCATTCTAGGTGAGAATAGGTACTATTTTTTTTTTCTTTACATCGATTTAATCTAGAATCGATGTAGAAATATACATATTTTATATTAGTTATTGATATCAAATATAGAAAACATTTTCAAATTTTAAGTATTGTCATTGGACTATTGTTTACATCAACTATGTAACAATCAGTGCAGAAATACTTAATAAAATGAAAGTTTTGCACTAGTAGTAATACTATAATTAATAATATTATAAATTTTAAAATTGTCATTACACAATGATGTTTGTTTTTATAATACTAGGAGAATCAAAATATTAGTGGGACAACACTAGGAAATTATTGGAAGGGAGAGAATACTTATCACTTGTAAAATATTTAAAAGTAACGTTTTTTTTTTAACTTCAAAATATGTTCTTAATGATGCAAGGAAAGCATAAGAAATAAAAATCATGCAATTAAAACAAAGAAATACGGCGATAAGGGAATATGCTTTCAAGTTTGAAAATTTGGGTGAAGTTAGGCTAGCCTGCCAATTAACTAAACACCTTAACTCGTCTTGTCATAATTTTTTTGAAAAGAAGAAAAAATGTGATTGATTTTATAAAATTAATTTGAATAGATAATTTTACTTAAAAGATGTGAAATATATTAATAATTTAGTCTAAATTTCATTTGAATATTAAATTTCTATTAATATAAGAGAAATTAAATTTATAAAATAAACTAATACTAACAAACTTATATTTTATTTTTAGAAACATTAAATTCTTTCTAAAAAGTTACATTGTAAAAAAATTAAACATAATTTTTTAAACCCTAAACCCTAAATGGATTGAATCATCTAGTCTAGTCCACTGAACTCATTTTTACTATCCTCAATTTAGAAGCTACACAAATGTGAGATTGTACAGTTGAAGATAAATTTTTAGTAGTTCATCACTTAATAATTTCATAATTAAATGTATTTAACTTGGAACAACTTAAAAATAACTAACCTTTTGTAAATTTTCTCCAAAAGTGTGTCAATGGAGACAAATATGTTAAAGGATTCAATCTAATGTGACCCTTTTTCATTAACACCAAGAATGATTCAAATCGAGAAAAATAGAAGGAAATAAATTAACAATATATCACACTTTTTTCTATACATTTAATATATCACTAATTTATTTTCTTAAAATTATGTGTAGATTTTTCCAAAATTATGGATAAGTCTTTGTTGAAAAATAAAAGTATCACCTATCAATTGATTAATTATTGGTGATTAATTAATTCTTTATAATAATTTTCTTATGTAATGTATATATATAGAGAGAGAAAAGAAAAAGAGAGGGGAGATCCACTTATAACTCTTAATTTAATGATTGAATTATTAAATTTTGATGTAAAACATAAATTATTAAATACAATAAATCTATCAAGACTTACTCTTAAAATAATTGGATCACTCCTTATATATATATATGTATATATATATATATATATATAGAGAGAGAGAGAGAGAGAGAAAGACATACACACACACACAAATAGACAGATACACTAAAAGTTGGTGCCTCTTTAAACAAATGCTTAAGTAGTCGTCTACCTTTATATATTGTGCTCAAACCTACAATTGCCTAAAATATAAAAAAAAGTGTGGTTTTTTGGTTTAAAAGAAGGAATTGCAATTAGAAAATGAAGAAGAGAAAACATAGGATAGTGTTAAGGGTAAAGGATAAAAAAGTCTCATTGTTGTTATTAAAAGTTGGTTAGTTTACCTGTAAGATAAGATTAGAGTTAGTTTGCCTCTAACTCTTCCTATAAATACATTATTTTGTTATCCTTTAGCAGTGTAATCATTTTTCTAAATCAATGATATTCATTTTCTCATCTTCATTCTCTAAATCAAACATGGTATCAAGAGCCTCTAGTGGTTAACTATCGTCTTTCGTTATGGCTTCTTCGTTCAATCCACAAACCTTCAACACACCCATATCCACAAAACTTGATGATGATAATTTTCTCATATGGCAACAACAAGTACAGGCTACAATTTGTGTATTCAATCTTGGGAAGTATCTTCTTGAAAACTCAGTTCCAGAAAAGTTCAATACCAAAGAAGATGAAGCAAAAAACAAGATCAGGGATGAATATTTGTAGTATGACCAACAAGATCAACTATTAGTGGCATGGTTATTGACATCAATGACAACTCCAATCTTGACTAAAATGGTTGGGCTAGTGCGTACTCATCAGATATGGAAGCATTTGGAGACTTATTTTACATCACAAACACGAGCAAAGACCAAGAAACTAAAGTTGCAATTACGTATGTCAAAGAAAAATTGCACGGTAACAAAATATCTTCTTTCAATTAAAAAGACTGTATTCATTAGCAGTTATTGGTTCACCAATTTCTGAGGAGGATCATATTGAGGCCATTCTTGATGGGCTTCCGAAAGAATTTGATTCTTTTATCACATCTATTACATCCCGTTTGGATCCTTACTTAGTGGATGATATTGAGGCATTGTTATTAGCACAAGAAGAAAGATTTGACAAACACCGAAAAACATAACATAATTTTGTTCAAGCAAATACTGCAATAGTAAATTCTCAAATGGAAAATATTGGAAGAGGAAGAGGAGGACAACAATATGCCCATGGTGCTAACTATGGTCGTGGAGGAAGAAAAAATAATAGAGGTGGCTTCAATAACTATAGAAGAGGAAGAAATACACCAGGAAGAGGCTTTGACAGAAATAATTGGTTTCAATTCAATCAAAATAATTGGAATGATCCTAAACCACAATGTCAAATCTGTGGAAAATTTGGGCATGTGGCTATTGATTGCTGGCAAAGGTTTAATCAAGACTTTCATCAACCTCCATAGCCTAATACCTCACAGTTTCATTTCAGTGCATCGGTTTATTCTGATCAAGGAAGCATTGCCATTCCATCAACTGTTCAAGATCCTTTGTGGTATCCTGATAGTGGGGCCTCACATCATATTACCAATGATGAAGCTAACTTCTCAGCTAAATCCTCTTATGAAGGCTCAAACAATGTCAAAATTGGTAATCGTGCAGGTTTGAAAATTTGAAATATTGGTTATTTTGAACTGTATATGCCAAACACTTCTAGACATTTTATCTTAAATCAGTTATTTCATGTACCTTCTATCACTAAAAACCTATTGAGTGTATCCAAATTTGCTAGGGAAAATCTTGTATATTTTGAAAATTTCCCTAACTTTTGCAATGTCAAAACACAGGATACTAACCAGATTATTCTGCAAGGTAGGCTTCAGCAAGGCCTATATGTTTTTCCAAACTTAAAGACCACTCATTCCTATTCTACTTATCAAGCTGTCACAGATTTTATTCCTGCTCAATCCCTTAGCAATCTTCAGCTGTGGCATGCAAGACTTGGCCATCCCTCCTCCAAAATTGTCAAAACCGTTTTAGATAATGTCAAATCTCTTGTAATACAAGTACCAATCTTAATTGTCACTCTTGTTGTTTTGGGAAAGTACATCAATTACCTTTTATACAATCTACAACTATATATTCTAAGCCTTTAGAGCTTGTGTTTATTGACATTTGGGGACCTTCTCCTATTGCTTCCACCCATGAAAGTAGATACTATATTGTATTTCTTGATGCATTTTCTAAATACAGTTGGATCTATCTTTTACAATACAAGTCTCAAGCTTTATATGCATTTTTACAATTTAAATCCCTTGCTGAAAAACAACTTGGAACTAAGCTCAAAGCCCTTCAATCTGATAATGCAAAATAGCTCCTTAAATTTTCTCCTTACATAATACAAAATGGAATTATTCATAGAATATCTTGCCCACATACACACCAACAAAAT